CAGATTCATCTGTGCCATCGCCATTCTTGAAACTGGCATGAGGACACAGTGCCTCTGAGCGCGGGCAGAAAGGCTCTGTCCTTCCGCTTTGTATCCTCTAAGGCAGTGGTCCCCAACCTTGGGCCTCCAGCTGTGCTTGGACTACAACTCCCAGAAGCCTTCACCCCCACCTCTGCTGGCCAGGATTTCTGAGAGTTGAAGTCCATGAACATCTGGAGGCCCAAGGTTGGGGACCACTGCTCTAATGTCAGGCTGAGCACATGTTACTGGAAATTTAATAATAACTTCTTCCATTAGCACCTTCCCCCCCCCCACTTCCCACCATCACATTCTACTTACAGAAGGACAAACCAGCACCTCAATTTCAGTGTACAATGCATGCTGTTCCTCTTCACATCTTAGAACAACAGAGCTGGAAAGGGACCCTGTAGATCATCCAGTCCAGCCCCTGTTAGAGAGGGAATCGAATTCCCAGCCTCTTTGGTGCTTTGTTTCCATGTATAATCCTTGGGACTGCCAGGTCCTGCATCCCCTGAGATTCCAGGTTAAAAGCCTGAAAAACGAAGGCTAAGCATATCCAATGTCACAGAGTAGAGCAGATCTTTGCAGTTAAGAGTAGCAAGTTGACAGCTTCTTATCCTTTGACATGTTAGGACCTCTTGATGTTGCAGCCCAGATGCTCTAGCAACAACTGCAAACGTTAGTGTGTTTAACAGAGGGATGATGGAGAAATTCTGTGATGAATTGAAAGGCTAATTCTGATTTCCAGCAGGAACAGCTCTAGGGCACACAAGATGATGAAAAAGACAAGGGTGTTTCAGAGCATGTACAAGCAGCGTGTTCTGAAGTGATGAGAATAAACCCTCCAGTTTAGCCTGGCCAGGTTGTTAGCATCCTCGTCTCTAAGATTTCAGGTACGAAGCCTGAAACATGCAGTACAGATCCCCCCCAAAATGAGTTTTGCATCTCCCATCTGAGACCTAGCAGCTCTAATCGTAATGCAAATTAGGAACCAAAATATTCTACAAGTGAGTCTGTGGAAAAATGCATTTTGTACTGGACCGTTCTCTGACCTTGGCCGGTAAATGTTTTTAAATTATTTGCTTGTGGATCTTTTTATTCTTATTCTTATTGTACCACTATTTCTATTGTGTTTTTTTTTTCAGCATTCTTCTTTTGTTTTGCCTTTTCTCCGCTTTTCAGCATAATAACCTTTCATTTAAGAACTCCCCCCTGCCCAGTTTTGATTTTGGAGCATTTTTTTTTAAAAAAAGGCTCATGATCACCGTCACTACAAAACATTCAGCCGTGCTTTCTCTCTGTGATTGGGCCTGTGTTGTTCTATACGATCAAAGTCCCATTCAACCTATGGTGCCCATGCGTTGGGCACATCAGACGAGGCTCGCTGGAAAAATACAAGTGGAAGGCAGCAGGGAGAGAGGAAGACCCAATGGGAGATGGATTGACTCCATCAATGAAGCCATGACTTTGGGTTTGCAAGAGCTGAGCAGAGTTATTAACAACAGGACAGTATGGAGGCCACTCATACGTAGAGTCATCATAATTTGGAAGCAAATTGACAGCACATAACAACACTAGGATTTTCAAAGCATGTTAGATGTTCTTGGAAAGGTTTCCCATTGCTGCCTTCTCTCCGGTGAGTTCCCCTGGCCGAGCGGAGATTTGAACCCAGGCCTCCTGCATCCTAATCCCACCCTCTATCCACTGTGCTGTTCTGGCTCGCGTGGGCCCAGTCATTCTCTTTAATTAAAGGAGGTTACCCAGGGGGACTCGACTAGGAGAACCAGCAGCTGTCACCGGGCATTGAACAACCAATTTGTCATCTTTAGCGGGTTCTTTAATCCCTTCTAATTCAGTTACCAATCTGTGCGTTGGGAGGGGGGAAGAGCAGGAACCTTAAGAGGATTGGGGCATTTGCTAAATTAGATAAGTAAAAATAACAAATGGCGAATGTGCCTTGGAGGCTGGCGATGGTGGGAGGGTCGGTTGCCGAGTCTGGAGGGCAGGAAATCTCTCTTGAAAGTTGGAACAGGGTGGCCCAGGCAGAGAAAAAAATCGGAACAAACACACACAGAGAGGAAGACAGATGGTTTCCATCCTGTGCCAAGGAAACAATAGGCAGGTTCTCCTTTTTTTAAGAGCCGGAGAAAGGACAGAGCCTTCATTTTGCACGTAGAGTCCTGAGTTCGATTCCTGTCACCGCCCCATAGGTTTGGAAAGACTTTTGCCTCAAAATCCTGCAAAACCACCGTCAACCAAAATCTTAGCTCACAATTATGTGCATGGGAAAAAAAAGGAAACTGCATGCTTTCACACGGTTATCATACTTTTTTGGGTGCAATGGAATGCTGTGGCTTTGCATAATGCTTTTCCAGTAGGTAGACGGAAAAACACATGCAAGCAATAAAAATAAGAAGTAAAGGTCAAGGTTATCCTTAATTTTCTGATATGCACATCCCACAAAAAAGCTCAGGCGTAAGAATAAAATTTACCCAACACAGTCACCTCAAATAATGCATAAAAATAAAATCTAAATACACAGCCTCATACGCACACACACATTTAAAAAACATTTCCTTCTCAAAACTTTGAAAAGTTTCCGTGTCAGCTGCATCAAACCCATGCCCAAACAGAAGGGTCCTATCAATTAAGAGATGAACAAGGCAGGGAAATCTTCAAAACAAGAGACAGGTACAACATCTTTTCAATGTCTCCAGCATTGAAGATTTTCTGAGTAATTACTGGGACACGGAAAAGGCCATTCATGATGGCTATACATCTCTTGAATCAAAGGTGCTGTATCATGCTTTAAAGGTCGATGGGGTCAGGATGAAACTCTTGGGCTCATCCCCTGCTTTGGGGCTGTCTTAAGAAACAACAGGTGGGTCACCGTAAGAGTAGGATGCCGGACTTGAGAGGCGTTCAGTCCGAGATAGCATACCTCTGCTGCCATTTTTGGGAGGAGTCTCCTACAAATGCCTTCAGCCCAAGCAGAGGGTGGGTCTGCTGATCAAAAGCATCGCCCTGATGGGGACCGTGAGTTTTTGAAAGGAAAAGTGGGTTAAATAAATGGACCACAATGCCATTCCTGCAGAAAGCTTGTTTTTCTTGCTGTCACAACAGAGAAAGGAAAATGAGAACTGCCCTGCCATTAACCAACAACAGACTAGAGCTGTTGCAAGCTGATGGAGGCCAGGTGTTATCATTATTAAAAAAAACAAATAAATGTCGAGAACGGCCCTGCCATTAACCAACAACAGTCTAGAGCTGTTGCAGAGCTGATGGAAGCCAGGTGTTATCATTATTAAAAAATAAATGTTGTTTTGCATCCATTCCCCATGAGAACTGCCCTGCCATTAACCAACAACAGACTAGAGCTGTTGCAAGCTGATGGAGGCCAGGTGTTATCATTATTAAAAAAAACAAATAAATGTTGTTTTGCATCCATTCCCCATCCCCTAGGATTGCTGTATTTTATTCCACTATACAGTCCTGTATATTGGAATAAAATGTATGGAATGCAATGTACGGAAGTGAGAGCTGGACCATAATATTTTATTCCACTATACACTTTTGTATAGTGGAATAAAATGTATGGAATACGTTGTATGAAAGTGAGAGCTGGACCATAAAGAAAGCCGACCGCCGAAGAATTGATGCTTTTGATTTGTGGTGCTAGAGGAGATTCTTGAGAGTCCCCTGGACTGCAAGGAGAACAAACCTATCGGTTCTGAAGGAAATCAACCCTGAGTGCTCACTGGAAGGACAGATCCTGAAGCCGAGACTCCAATACTTTGGCCATGTCATGAGAAGAGAAGACTCCCTCGAAAAGACCCTGATGTTGGGAAAGTGTGAAGTCAAGAGGAGAAGGGGACAACAGAGGACGAGATGGCTGGACAGTGTCACCGAAGCTATGGACATGAATTTGACCCAACTCTGGGAGGCAGTAGAAGACAGGAGGGCCTGGCGTGCTCTGCTCCATGGGATCACAAAGAGTCAGACATGACTCAACAACTAAACAACAACATACGCTCTTGTGTCTTTAAAAGCTGTTTGATCAACAGGTATTAGAAGGTGCTGATGCACACTTCTATACTTTTGGCAAATAATACTAGAAAAGCTGGCATAGGTATTTCTCACCCATCCGTAAATTGGTAACCTCCAGACTCCCCCTTGCCTATTGTCATTTCATTCATTCCCAGTCCTCGGTTCTATCGGATTCGCAAATTAATTATCAATCCCAGCCCGCTGAACCATCCCAGTGCCATGGCTCTGTCATGTAATTATCCAAACTGTATGTAAAAATGACAAAATGGAGGCTGTCCTGCTTTGGACACATTACAAGGGGCAAGAAAAGACAATAATGCTAGTAAAGGTTGAAGGCAGCAGGAAAGGAGGAAGGCCAAATACATGATGGATTGACTTCCAAAAGGAAGCCACAGGGTTGACTTTGCAAGAGCTGAGCAGTAATGCTACGGATAGGACATTTTGGAAGTCCCCCATTCAAAGGCTTGCTATACGTCGGAGTCGACTTGAGGTCAAATAACAAGCGTTCTAATTAGCAGCCAAAATTAACGACAAAAAAACCCACACAAAGCCACTGTTCCTTTTGTATCTAGTTTGTTTTGTTTTTAAAGATTTTAATGTTTTTCTTTTTTTTTTTAAACCACCAACAATTTTTGTAACTGTACAGGAAATTGCTTGCCACGGACTAAAACATTAATAAATAGTGAGAACCGTCAAGGAAGAAAAAAAAGTAACTTGCATGGCAATGCCTCTCACCTACAGCAAAAAGACAGAGTTGTTTCTTTAAAAAAAAAATAAACAACTAAGAAAGCTATGCTAAGAAATCTCTAATACAATTTACAAAATATATCTCTTTTAAAAATTTTAAAAGCCCAGTTTGTTAATGCACAGGGGAAGGGGAAAAGAAATCGTGTTCTTTACAAATATTTATAAGTCACTGCTTTAATCCTCTGTATTTTGATTAAAAGCCAGCCTCCAAGGGAACCATATCTAGATGTTAACATTTGTTGCCCAAAGAAGCAAAATCTCTAAACTCTGCTAATTATCTGCCAGCCCACCATTCTCCTCTCCCTAAAATTCGGCATGTGATATCTATTCCATTTGGTACAAAATGTAACATTCAGAGAGCCTGGAATTTTTATGTTTGCAGACTACAACTCCCACAATCCCCTGCTATTCCCAGGGGATTCTGGGTATTGTAGTCCCCCCAAAAAACTAAAAATCCCAGACTCTGAAATGTAGAGTTGTGAAATGAATGCCCTGTGCCATTCCAGAAAGCGATAGTCTGGGAGGAGTTCACTTCAGCGCTGAACGATGGGCCCACCACCAACGAGCGCACTTGAATTGCCAGCTGGTGGTCGCTCCCCGCTTTTCACCACCTTTCTGTCCCCTCTAACACTTCCTGGTAATTGATTCATTTGTAATCTCCATCCCAGATGGAATTTGGGGACCTAAAGGGTCTTACGGCTTTTGTAGAAATGTTGTTGATCCCCCACAAAAACACTGCTCACGTGCACAAGACGGTATTACCAAGTTCCACTGAGATATTATTTAATCAGGGAGAATCCCACTTTTTGGTCACTTGTGTAGTTACAGGACTCACTACATGATAGACAACTATCACAGGGTTCAAGTGCTGGTTCATGCTTTTCCCCCCTATTTTTTAAAAAGTAATTTAAAGCAACAACTCAGTTACTTTTGGGAAACTGGAAAGTAAAAAAGTTACCTTTTTAGACACTGAAACTATAACAGTAATTAACTACTTTTGGGGAAGCCACGTTGCAATAAATGTAACTAATGGCTTTTTTAAAAAAATATGAAGTAACTTTCCAAGTTCTCTTCCACTTCAGCTAGTCCAACACGAAGAAAAAAATAGTAGCTCGGGAATTTTTTCTGCTTCCTTGCCTTTCCTGCCTCCCAATCTAAATCGAACAGGACAGTGGTGGCATCAATGAGGTATTTTGAGTACTACTCATGCCCATCTAAATGGGGGGGGGGACAGAAAGGCATGGGAGGGGTGAATGAGCACATGGCAGTCACTGTTTTTGCCTTGTCAGTGGTTTGAAGAAGGAAATAGCAGAGATGAGAAACCTTTTGGACTAGAGTTCCCAGAATCCCTATATTATGTGTGATGTATGGAATTCTGGGAGCTGTAGGCTAACCCACCCACCCCTAAATATTGCACCTCTGTGGCACGTGGAGGAGGTAGGAAGGGGATCTGTCAATGGGGTCAAAGAGAGGAAGCAGCAGCATTGAGAGCATGAACATGGGGCAGGAGGAAAGGATTCTGGCTTCCTCTACATGGGAGAGTGTAGGGAGCAGGTCTGAGGGACATGGATCCCCCCCCACAAAATTGGAGCTGACCCCCTGGGTTACGAGAAGCTCTGCCCTGAAATCCGAGTAAAAAACCAGGATTTTGTTCCAAACAATACACAGGGCAAAGCCCTGCTCTACGAATCACACCCACTCAAGCCCTGGCGTATGAGGATCGAAACAGGAACAGAAGAAGGAGGGGGGGAGAAAGAAATTTGATGTTGGCCACCCCGAGGCCTGGATCAGTGATAAAACGACCGACCAGTTTCACAGGCAGAAGGTCTCCAGTTCATGCCCGGCCGTCTTCAGGTAGGGCCGGGCGAGACTCCACATCTTAGAACCCGGACAACCCTCGTTGCTGGTCCGAGGGGGGTTATCCTGGGCCAGATGGAGGGCTGACAGGGGCCACATGGCTTTCGACGCATCTGACATTGCAGATTGGAAAGGAGAACCCCTCTTAAAAATTATCTGTCCACTCCAGGGGCAGACACACACATACACACACACAACAACCCATTTTATAGCACGATCGCTCCTGCTCTAGCCAAAAGCCCACAGAGGGCTCATTTACTTATTCATTTATTCATTCGTTCATTCGTTGTTCAGTTCTGGCTTCTACTGTCCACCTGTGGAGAACGGACGGAGATTTATGAAAAGCAGCTGTTCGGTGATTATTATTTTTTTTCTTGCCCTCGCTTCGGCTAACTCAGGGTTTTAAAACTTTTCTTTGTTTTTTGTTGAATCCGACAGTGGAGAGATATGGGCTTTGTCGAGAAACTCATTGGAAAGCTTCCATCTCCTCTTCGCTTCTGGCGAAGACCTTCAACAGACCCACGGACCTTGGCAGCTTCTTGTCCAGAGTGGTCTTGAGAGCGCTTGCCGCCATTGTCTGTCTTTGATTTTAAATGTCATCCCAGCCGACGGAAGGATGGAGGTCCCGAGCCATCAAGTTGCTGAATCCAGGACAAGAATCGTAGAAGGCGAGGGGTCACAGAACGTACAGAGCCGTGGCTGGTTCGCAAGTTCCTATCGTCTGCACAGATCCGAGTTGAACGAGGACTCCCAAAAACAGCACGGAGGGTTATCAAAATATGAAGCGATGCCAGAGTCAGTGGAGAGGAGGAGGAATAAGAAGTGTTCCTCTTCGGGGAAGGGGAAAAAACCCAACAGTCTTCAAAATCGTGAGATAAAAAGAGAAGCAGTGAGCCTTCTGCCGAGTGCGAAGACGGAAGATCTTATCCCAAGAGGCTACACAAAGGGAGAGGAACGTGTCGAAAAGGGCCGACACCCTTCACAAGACCTGAAACTTCCACGAGCTTTGATCTTTATAATCCAAGCAGTCGGTGGTGTTGAAGTTGAGCTTCCAGGAAGCCGCCTGATCTTTGTAATCTAGGCAATCCACGGAGCTGAAGCCGAGACTCGCGGGCCCATAACCCTGGCTGGAGAGAGATGCTGGAGACTGGCTCAGGTGGCTGCCCATGGTCGGGGTGGCAATGGGGCTCAGGGCAGCCCCCGGGGCAGACAGCTGTGGGTGCATGGGAGACAGGTAGGAGCTGCAGTCAAGGCCGCTGAAATAGGAGGTCGAACCCGCATAGGCCTGGGTGTAGCCGGGGGCCTGGGTGTAAGTCATGGGGTAGGCCGTAGAGCGCTGCATGCAGGGGGTCGTGGAGGAAGAGAGCGGGTCGGGGATCGGGGAGATGGAGGCCGGGCTCCAGATGGAGACGGTGGCGCTGGCGCTGGAGCTGGGTGTCACCGAATTGCCGGCCGGCGGTGGGCTGTACTGCCCGTTGGTGCTGGTCTCGGAACTGGTCTCCCGGGCGGGAGACGTTTTCTTCTTCGCTGGCCGGGCTTTGGCTTGACCGGTGCTCTGCTGCTGCTGCTGGCGGCATTTGGCCCGACGGTTCTTGAACCACACCTGGAAGACGAAAGGAGGAGGTAAGCTGCAGGTGAGAAAAACCGCCGGGTGGGGGGGGAGGTAGGGAACCACATAGAAAGCTCAGGTTTTTAAACCCTATTTAAGTTTGTTTGTCGGTTTGTTTGTTTGTTTGTTTGTTTGTTTGTTTGATTGATTGATTGATTGATTGATTGATTGATTGATTGGCTGTCCAATTCTGGGCAGCTAACAGCAAGTTAAAACAAATAACATCACATAAAACAAATCACACCATCAACGACCTATGTCCAATTCTGGGCAGCTGACAGCAAGTTAAAACAAGTAGCATCCCATAAAACAAATCACACCATCAACGACCTAGATAAAACACATCACCAGTGACATCATCAATAAGATAAAGAAAACACGTAATCAACAGCGCTGATTTTGTGTTTTATTTCAACTGGATGCTGCTTCTTTTATCTTGGGGTAAACCGCCCTGTATAGTGCATTCTTGAATGTTTCCTCCGTCCGGTTAAAATAAAACACATAATGACATAAATAAAACAAACACATAATCAATACCATAAAGAAAACACATAATCAAGGACGCCGGTTATGTGTTTAATTTTAACGCGATGGAGGAAACATTCAAGAATGCACGACGGACAAGCCATCTGGTGCTGGCTGAGAGATTCCAAACTGGGGGACAGAAAATAACGGAAATCCGTTTCTTCTGCGTGTCATTGCAGTGTTTCAGTTGACTCAGTCCTGCAGCTGGAGGCTTCCTGCATTTCCTGCTGGCAACCACTACCCTCCTCCCTTCCTGCTTAGGATGATGCGTGCATGTACATATTCAGTTCAACACACATGCAATGGTGGGGCACAGAGGTATGGAGTATTGACAGGTGCCACGTCTGCTAGGATTTCCATCTCTCTTACAAAGTTCTCTGTGGAGCGTTGCAAAAGGGGTAAAAATGGATGTCACGGGGGCAACACTGGCAGATAACGACAGAGAGAAGAGGAGCTTTGGGTGGTGATGAATGGATCTGGAAGGATCTAAATGAGCCAGAGGGGGACCTGCCGGCGGAATAGGTATCAAATAGAAGGCAAAAGGAATAAAGAATTTATCCATGAGGGGGCACTGTGATCTCAATCTCTTTCATAAAATTGCTATCATCCCGGAGTTCGTTCTTGGTCAATTAATTTGACCTTGGCTTTCAGGAAAATCTGTACACACCGTTTTTTTCTAATTCCTGTCTGTAAACACCCTGGAGATCTTTCTAAATACACAAAACTTGGGAGTCTTTTGATTCTTTTATAATGTAATGCTAGGAATTTCCAGGAAAAGGTTCAAGGGGAACCCGGAAAACTTAAAGCCTTCGCCTCTGAGGTCTGAGAGACGTGTTTCAAGGTGGCTGCTATAAAACATCTACACACGGCCTACCTATAGACTATATATGTGTCTACAGTATATGGACAGGCCGTGTGTAGATGCTTTATAGCAGCCACTTTGGCACAGAAATGCAACTGAGAATAGACCAAAGCGACAGGACCGAGGCACCTCAATCGCTCGGACGTTTTATGTGGCATAAGCCTTCGTGGCCTTCAAAGCGCAGGGCACATGCAGGGAAGCGTGTATGTCATGCACCATCAAGCTGGAACCAATTTAAAGCCACTGTGATAAGGCGTTCAAGGAAGTGAGATATTTAAGGAGTGGCTTTACCGGTTCCACTCCCCCCAGTAGGTTTCTGTGGCTGAGCGGAGATTTGAACCCAGATCCCCAGAATCCCAGCCTGTCCCTCTATCCGCTGCACCACACTGGGCATAATAAGCTCATGCCAAATAAAAGCAGTTCATCTTTAAGGGGCCCCAAACCTATTTTTGCTGTTCCAGACCAAGGTAGCTGTACCAGACCAATCTTCATATAAAGACCATCGTTAGTCTCAATTTTAGAGATCTCCCCGGCCGTCTTAGAATGGAGTCGGCGTCCTTGTCTTGTCGTTTATTTCTCCGTGATGGAGTCCTTACCTGAACTCTGGATTCGGGCAGATTGATCTTCAGCGCCACCTCTTCCCGCATGAAAATGTCCGGATAGCGCGTCTTGGCAAAGAGAGCCTCCAAGATGTCCAGCTGAGCTCGTGTGAACGTCGTGCGCTCGCGTCTCTGCTTCCGTGGGGTGGCTGCCAAAGAAAGGGGGGGAATTAATCAAGGAAGGCGAGGAATACACCTCCTCGTTCCCCTCTTCATCCACAGGGCTAGTGATGCAGCCACAAAATCAGGAGTTGGAAGGGGGCCTCTTAAGGCCATCCAGTCCAACCCTCTGCTTGAAGGAGGAATCCAAATCCAAGCAGATCTACCAGGGGGTGGTCTTAAATTCCTCTGGAGGGAGGAATCCAAATCCAAGCAGATCTAACAGGGGGTGGTCTTAAATTCCTCTGGAGGAATTTAGACAATCATCCGCCAGATCTGCTTTGACCTGAGCCCCTGCATTGGTGGGAAGAGGGTCCCAAAGTGACCTGAACACACAAGAAAAATTATTATTTAAAAAAAAGGAAAAAAAGGAAGAACGATCAAATCTGCTACTTTCGTCATCCCGAGAACACCCCTATAAGGTAGGCCAGCATGCTTACATGACTGATATTGCAACTGAAAGGCTAAGAGGTGGAGAGGAAACGCCTCTGACCTTCGGGTTCTCTCCCTTACTATTGCATTCTCAACGGGAGCCATATGCCTTCCTTGGGGACCCCTGGCCCATTTGAAGGGGGGGCACAGATTTACCTGTTCAAGTTGTATCCTTGTTTGCACACACACACCCTAAAGTTTTCCTTGCTTAACGGTGGAACCTGGGATCTTCCTAAAAGGGCCTTTGGATGGGAGACCATCAGGGAGCAAACAGCCAGGAGGGCTAGCTCTAAGAACCCGATTTGAAACCTGGAGCAGCTGTTGCATCCAGTTGGAGCTGCTCATCTGGAATAGACAGACCGAGGACATGCCTCTCTGGAAAGCAGCATCAGATTAAATTTTTTCCCCATTGCATAGGACTGGAGAACAGGTGATCTGCTACGGATGTGAAGCCCGGTGGAAACAGCTTAATGAGAGCATTTATCGCCCAGTTTCGCTGCATCCATTCCTATCTCAAAGCATCAAGCTTCTCGCTCTCCAGACAGGAGAGACTGCATGGCAAAGTTGAAGACCTTCTGCAAATTACCACTTAATTGCTGTTGAAAATTAGCAAGGTTATCTTGAGATTTGCACAGAATTATACAGAAGAGGCATTTCCTAAGGACTTAGAAATGACTCCCCCCACCCCACCGCCAAGCTCCTTTTGAGAACTTTCAAGATCACATCATGCTTTGTCATCTGGGCAATCATTTCCTTGCATTTATCTGATCTATCTCGCCACCCATTTATCACTCCATTTGATAGCAGTTTCTTTTTTTGTAAGTCAAGTAGATGATTGCCTCTGCTTTAATGAATTTCAGAATGGCTTACGAATGTAAAACTAATCATAAAATAATTTTTTTTCAAATCTGGACTCCTTCCATTTAGAAAAAGGAGTTTGAAGCTGTAACTTCAACTCTCAACCTCCTAGTAAAACTATACAATCAACCTGGGCTAATAATGTGTTTTTGAAAAAACTACAGGGATTAGTAAAAGTCCTACCTCGCAGGGTTGTGCACGCCTGTGAGATCATGCAGGAAAAGGACCCTGTATATAAAAAGTACTTGCTTTCTATGTTGCCTTCTGCTAGTATCCTGTAAGAATGCAAGGTTTCCGGGCTGTGGTTTTGAATTCAGTGTTGTTGTTTTTAGGGTGGACAGGAATATACCTTTTTAAAAAGCTTTACATTTTTCTGGCCACAACATATAACTTTTCTGGTAGGATTTTTACCTAACCCATAGGGCAGATCTTGGGCAGATGAATCTACAGATCCCTGTGTGATTCTAATGGAATTCCCCATTTTCTGGCCTTCTGGGTGTTTATACACAAACACACATACCCCTTTTGAATTGCAGAGCTGGAAGGGACCCTCTAGATCATCAAGTCCAGCCCCTCTCAAAGAGGCACAAGGGGGAATTGAACCCCCAACTTCTGGCTCCACAGCCATTGACCTGAGCCACAGAGAAACATCACAACACAGCAGCCTGGGAAATTCTGAGCTCAAATCAATCACAAAGGGCAGGGCTTTCTATGTGGTGGCACCAGCCTTATGGAACCAGCTTCTGGAGGAGTTCCACCAGGTCCCCTCCCTGCTATCATTTAGGAAGCAGCTTAAAGTACTGCTTTTCAGGGAGACCTTTCATACCGATCCAGTTCTACTATTAGGAAAAATAATTATTTTTCTAATATTAGGAAAAAATCATTTCTGGTGCCGTTTGGTTTTATGCCATAAGCCTTTTACTTTTACTGTTTATTTGTTTGTTCAATGCTTGTTTCAGTCTGCTGTTAAACCACCCAGAACAGTGCATCTGCGCTCATGGGGTGGCGTTATGAATAAAATAAAATAAAATAAATATCTGATACAAGTTGGATGGCGTTTGCCTGCTAGGTACAGCACCCAGATGGGTTAGCTTGTGCTCGCTCTTCCTTGATGTAAACTAGGGGAAAAATACTGAGATCAAATGATGGGAAAGGATGAAATGAGAATTATTCCCGGGTAGTGGCCTCGGATCACCTTGATCTACCTGAAAGGAAGGTTTGCTTCTCCACCGGGGAGGGGGGGGCTCCACATACGTCCGGAAATCTCCTCAGAGGAAGGCAGAAGGAACAGCACAAGCAAGGATAAATCCTGCTGTTAAATAGGTAACTCTTTTATTTTCGACCCCTCCAAAACACTGGATCAGGGAACTAGAAAGGAATGCACCATTTTCCCCCCTGGAAATAATTCAAATTTTAAACAATGTTATAGGTGAAAAATCTATTGAGGGGTGATTTAGGTCTGCCTGCACATGGACTCAGATACACAAAACTCTGTTGAAGTCTGATATTTACTTAGTTGTTTTAATTTCTCAACCCATTTTCTTCCCAAATGCCTGAACTGGGGTGCGAAGGGAAGAAGAGAACAGAAGGATGTAACAGAAAAATTCTTTTGGAGTCAAATCTCTTTAATTCTCCAAGAAGTCTCTGTAAATTTTTTTGGATTTCTCCTTCTTTTCTCTTCCAAAGAGCCTTTCCTTTCAAGAAATCCCATCCTCGTTCAACTGCGTTGAGGGCGAGATCTGAGGCTGTGCCTTCTCAAACCACATTCCACCCCCCCAACGATTCAGTATAACAGGAATAATTGGATGTGAATTTCCAAATGATGTTACATCTTAAAATATTGGGAGGGGAGGGTTTCATTCTTAAATCTGATAACACACACACAAAGAACCAAACCATCTCTCCCAAATAGCACTGTGTGTATGAATTCACAGTAACACAACCCAGCATCTTTGTATGATGGGCCGAAAGCAATGGTTTGCCCTCATGACAATAGACCCATTGAATCAATGTGATTTATTTCACTCCACTTGCTTTAAAATGCCACAGATATTTTTTTTGATAGAGGTATTCTCTTAAATGTTCTAATTCCATTCAACCTCCTGTATTTTAGATGGGCTTTTACAAGTGCTTATGGCTGCCTTCTCAAGCTAACTGCTTAATAAGGGGTTGATTCCTGCCCCTCTTCCCCACTGTTGGCTTCTCCTTTACAATTTGAGGAAAGGCTGGTTTCCATTCACATAACAATTCATCTCCCTCTGTTGGTAATCAGGGAACCTAAATGGGTGGGTGGGGTCTTTGTCTTTTCTAATGGACTTAATCCTCCCTCTAAAAATAAGGTGTTGCTGTTGCTCATTAGCAGAAAGACTAGGTGGCCCATTTTCTTGGAACATCAAGCCGTGCTCCAAATGAAAGAGGAAAACCAATTCAGAAATGGAAAAAAAGGAAAGAAATTAGGAAGTCCACTTACTGGGGTATCCCACTGCAGAATGAAGGAGGTCCATGCCCGGTCCGGCCAAGGCTAACCCATTGACCGCGTAATGGGGTTGCTTGATGTAGGACATCATGCTCAGAAGGTTGGTATCCCCCAACTTCGTCCACGGGATTTCGGAGTTGACTTTGTAATGCTTTTCCTCCTAGGTTATCCTGGTCCACTCAGCGTCCGAGGGCGGCTGGAACTGCAGCAGGCGAGAAACCCCCCCAAAAAAACATAGAAGAGCTCGTTGGCCAACTTGGAATGGCCAAGGAAAGACCTGCAATGCCTTCTAGAACATCTCTCCTCTTGCTGCTAAGAACAGCCAAGGGTTTGATGGGTGAACTAAATGAAGGGTCAGGCCTGAAGGCTCCCAGGTAGTCATCAAGAAAACCCCACCCCCTGCACCATAGAAAAGACATGACATGATAAGTGGGGGGGGCATGATGGGAGCTGGGATTTTAACAAGTCAAAAGGGGAAGCTAATGTGTGCCATTAGGCTAATCAGCCCCACCCTGGGGGGGCTCTTTTCCTATCCAACCCACCAGGTGAAGTCAACAGTGGAAATTTTGGATAGCTCTGTTGCTTAGGGTGTGTGCGGGTGTGTATGAGAGAGACAGAAAGAGAGAGAGAGAGAGTTTGAGTTTGAGTTTGAGGGGGTGAGGCCCAGAAAAGGCAGGGTAAGATCCTGTGCTACTCTATTCCCCAATGGAACTGGTGCAGCTTTAAAAAATAATTACAAAGGGCATGCATTAGGGTGGACTCCACCCTTACTCTCCTTCCACGCCAGCAGACCCCCTTGAAATCCATGGGACTAAAATCTGATGGGGACTCAGGACCCGGGAGTTTAATGTGTTTTAAGAAAAACATGTGAATGGAGGGGGGGGGAGGCTGCCTATAAACAGATGCACAATATTGTGTGCTGTAGTGGCCAAATAAGTCACTGGCTGAACCATTAAGTCACATAAGATTTACATTTCAGGTGAGCTCAGCTAGATCCCTAATACGTTGATAATTTTGGATTATCGACAGAGCTTCTGAAACTAGAATAAAGATTGTTGATAATTTTGGATAATCTCCACGACAGAGCTTCTGAAACTAGAATAAAGATTAGATAAACTAAGTGTCATATGCATAATGAGTACAGTTATATGAAATTACTATCTTGTGACTTGGGTGAATCTATCTATCTATCTATCTCTATCTATCTATCTATCTATCTATCTATCTATCTATCTATCTATCTATCTATCTATCTATCTATCTATCTATCCATCCATCCATCCATCCATCCATCCATCCATCCATCCATCCATCCATCGCTGGTTTCCTGAATCAGTCTCTGGGTCTGTTTAATGGTTAATTTGGACCAATACTCACTTATACTCGTGATGTCTCACAAATAAGGCAAGCAGTACAGAATGCTTCATTATGGCACTCCTGATTAATCTTAGTCAACCTCCAACGTGCTCTTGTTCTTATATGCCATCAAGCTGCCTCTGATTTACGGCAACCTTATGAATGAGCCCTCTCTGAAACGGCCTGTTTTCAACAGTCCTGCCCAGCTCTTGTACACTCAAGCTTGTGGTTTCCTTTAGGAAGCCCATCCATCTCGTATTGGGTCTTCCTCTTTTCCTGCTGCCTTCCACCTTTCCCAGTCTGATTGCCTTTTCCAGAGAATCCTCTCTCTTCATGATGTGCCCAAAGTAGGAACAGCCTCAGCTTCAACATGTTTGCCTCCAGAGATAGTTTGGGCTTGATTTGATCTAGGACCAACTCGTTTGTCTTTCTGGCAGCCCGGGATATTCCCAAAGCTCTCTTTTGGCACCAACCTATGGCAGCCTTAATATTAACCAGGATATTCCCAAAGCTCTCTTCCGGCACCAACCTATGGCAGCCTTAATATTAAAAACATGGGGACGTTCCTTTTAGGGGATGCAAGAGGGAAATCCTAGACATCATCGTCCATAAAAGGAACTTTTTTGAGCTCCACTGGCTGATCCTGATGCTTTGCAGAATCAGAAAAGTAGAAAAGAGGAAGTTTCCCCCCCTCCATGCCCCCCACCCTAACCCTCTCCCTACTATTAGAAAATGGGGGAAGGATGAGGCAGGATAAGAGCAGCGTTTGCCAACATCAGCTGCACTTTAATATCACTCATTTTGTTTAATAGCCAAGGTTTTATGATAAACACAGCCCACGGAGCGCTCATAAACTGTTAACGGATTAACGGCGGTTCCAGCTATGGATGTTCGGCCATGTAGAAATGGGTTGCGACATGCTTTTTCAAGTGGGGAGGGGAGACACTTAATGCCTATGTCTGTTAGGTGGGAAGAAAGGTAGGTTTGATTTCAGCGGTTCCAAAAGACGCACAGAACAGTGGATGAGTCATTATATCTTTTGATTTCACCGTCTAGGTAGGTGGCTTATGAAAACGCAGAGAGTCAGGTCTATAGAATAAGACACGTCTTGAGAGCATCAGAAGAAAAATTGACTTCTTAGCCCTGTGTTCCCAGGCAGCTGGCGGTTTTATCTGCCCGGCGTCTTTCCCAGTATACTCATGGTATACTGGTCAATTTTTCGTGTGGTTAGTGTCTAGGCTAAGAAAGGGAATAAGGTCGTAGAGCAGAAAGATGGGGGAATAAAAACACACACACAAACACACACCAAAAAAAAAAAAATCCTGCAATTGGCAGAAGGATTAATGGATGGAAAGGTAAGTCTGCAATCCTTCAAGATGGTCCATTAAAAACTAATTTGGGAGCCACCAGCTTCCTTCTTGAAACAACCAGAATCCTCAAAAAGAAAATCACAAACTGGCCAGCCAGGAGGAAAGGAAAGGGAGGTTGGAAACGTTCCTTGATATCCAGGGAAATTAAGCGCTTGGGTTGCTCCAGAGCCAGGCTAACTCAACAAGAGACCTAGCTTGCTTTGGAGGGCGCTCTGCCATGATGGAACTGAAAAGATGGCGACACCCCCCTCCCGCATATTAGTCTCACCTTGTTCCCACCTCCCCTCTCCCATCCCTCTCTTTGTTCCCAGATCAGTGAGGAAGCTTTTACTAACACCAGTAGATCCTTGGGGGGGGGGGAACTATTGTCTTGGAAAAGACCATTGTATTCCCATTCCTTTGTCTGGTTTCATTCTCCTCCCTCCTTCCCACCCTTGTCTTCTCTGTATCTCCCTTGCAAGTTTTGGTTTTGAACTTCTGCAGAAGTTGGGGCTTGCTCAGGGGAAAGCAAACAAGTCTAAATGGAGAGATAAGACAACAGCTGGCTCACAGGTTGGGAGAAGAGAGGCTTCCTCACTGAAACAACTTCCCTTCCAATTAGAGGCACGTATTGCCCTTGTAAACATTGAGAGGAAATGGCAGAAGTGACACACACACAAAGTGACAGACAGGTATTTAGTCACCTTGCGACACCTTAGATAACCACCTGGGGAGAGAAAATTAAAAATACCTTTCGATTCTTCCCCCATTTGGGTCAAAGCTTGAAACGTGCTGATGTTTAAACAAATTCTGGATTTTTGGACAATGGAAAAGATAGAGCGCAGGAGATAATTCGTAGGTCAGACAATCAACCTTCTCTCCTTCCTCCAGATAAACTTGGTTTCCATTTCTAGTTCAGCTTTTAAAAATCTCCTACCCATACTTTATGTCGGAAGGGAAAGATTTTAATTGGTGAAGAAGACTGAACTACAAAGCAACAACCCAGGGGGCGGGAAAAACTGGCCTAATTAATAAGAGCTGGTACAGAATTTGTATTATGGCACAACCATAACATGATGGCTCAACTGGAACAACAGCTCTCCATGGCGGTGATTTAAAAAATCATCTAAAACTGGGTTCTGCATTTCCATTCTTTGCATGTAAACACCAGGCTAAGGAGTGGATCCTTCAATCATAACATGATGGCTCAACTGAAACAACAGGTCTCCATGACGGTGATTTTGAAAAATCATCTAAAACTGGGTTCTGCATCTCCACTCTTTGCATGCAAACACCAGGCTAAGGAGTGGATCCTTCAAAACATTGGTTTTATACCATGGGAACACAATCAATTAAAAGCTATGTCCAGACCAGGGGGAGAAAAGAGGGGTAAGGTGAATCTTTAAATCCCGAGGGTTTATTTTGCAAATGGGTGGGAAGTTCCTTGACAGGACAAGGAACCTTCTTCTCTCCTAAAATTCTGCAATATCTCATATAACATTCTAAGTCTGCCTAGATTTGGGAATGAAATTCCGGCCGACATCAGTTATATTTGTTGGTAAACAAGCACGCATCCTCCATGGGCCCACTGTGTCCTGTTTCGTTTTTCATGTGAGGTATGTCGGCCACATCGGACCTTTTTTGGCCAAGATGGAGACCCTCAGGACGGGCTTGGAGAAGGCATGGGAGAGCATTGGACAAAGTCTGGAATTCGGGCTAACCCGCGCCCTTACATGCGAGGAGCTGAGCGGTGCACTGTCTACTCCATGCGCAAGAACATGGTCCTACCATCCCACCCAGACTTGGGCAAACGCGGCCTTGCAAGAACTGATCGGTCTCACAAAACGAAAACAGGATGGTCAAATAAATCAATAAATTCTAATTTTGGAACAAAAAACAGATGTATGGGATGAAGGAGTGCAGAATTCTCGCTGTGCCTTTATCCTCAGCATGCACACATTTATTTTTGAAACCCAAACAAAGCATGATGAGAACAGTTTCCCTCAGAGAATTGTATTGTGAAGGGTCTCTCTGAGGAGTTCCGCTTCCAAAAAAAAAAAGTATCTAGTCAAGAGTCTTGGATCACCTTAAAAAGACCAACAAGTTTTCTTTATCATATAAAGGTTCGTGGGTTGTAAAACCACTGCATCAGAAGCAGGAACCTGGCATTTTCAGAGAGCGTTTGGTGACATGGCATTTGGTCCACTCCATGAAAACGTATCTCGAATAAAACCAGTTTGTCTGTGAGGTGAAAAATAGACGGCTTGTCAGTCTTGATCTTGTGTTTCTCGGTTGTCCAGACAAAATGTTTCCTGTGTTTCAGAGTAAACTGCTTTTGAAACTGAGGGGAATATCAAGAGCCGTTCGAAACACAGGATTTGGGTAGTTTTTTTTCTGGCGCTTTTCTCCTCACATTGAGTTTTATAAGCTCAAGTATGTTGGAGGGGCAAAGGTATGGTGAGGGTTCTGCACCTGTTTTTTATTTCTCTAATATTAAATTTATTTCTTAGTTACACTCATTTTTATTTCGTTTATTTATTTTATTTGACCTGTTATTGTTTTGTTTTGTTTTGCTCGAATATTAAATTTATTTCTTAGTTACACTCATTTTTATTTCGTTTATTTATTTTATTTCATTTTTCTAAGGCCTTTCTCCCAGTCAAGGAAGGCACAGCAGCCCATAAATTCATGTGCTACCTTCTGGTC